CTTCTGTGGTTTTCGTTACAATTACGTTCAGTCTTTTTCCTTTAAACCAAGACGTTACAAATTTGTATAATACAATACAGTCAGTCGTCTGCCAAATTGATGATTTTGCTGACTACAATGGACGAACCTGCACTTATGATTTATACTTATGACTGGAGTTCATGCGTCCTTATCGCACTCGCTACAAAAATAAATTACTATCTCTATCTTCAATTAGCTACTGTTATTATATTTATTTAGCCGAAAAATAAATAAAATATAGCAATAATGTAAATATATAGATTTAAATCCGGAAAAATAGTTTTATTTCCTATGTGTAACAATCGCGAAAACCTAAGAACTCGATAATAATGTAAATATTTTTGTTAACTCACGCCTAATATGTGATTCTTTGTGTTTTATTTACATTAGTAACACAGCTCCTTGTGAAAGAGTTGTCCAGGGAAGTACTGCCACCTTACCTATTTCTGCCGACAAACAGTACCTAATGTCAGCATTACTGTGTTCCGGTTTTGAAGGGTAAGGGTGCTGGTGAAATTACAGGCACATGGGACTTGTCAACTTGTGTCTCAGGATGACGGGCGCAGTGGCAGTGCCCCTCAGATCTTTGCAATTTAAAGCTCTGAGTGGCACTGCCCCTGGTTTGACAGGTCTGTAACTTACCATCAGGCGCATGACTTGTTCGTCCCGCCATTTGACATTATAATAACAAAAGAACTTTAACACGGTAATGAATGCATTTTCTAACTAAACACCAAGGCATTTTCCTTAAAATGACGCAACTTTACCAGTTTCGTCTCTTTGCTCGACGAAGATTGATTGGAAGTTCAGTCTTTTGAAGATCTTTTGACTGAGTTTCGAATCTTCACTACGGGGACCATAGATTTATTATATTAAATCTATGATTAATATACTAAATCTATGATGGCGACATGGCCAAATTTTTTTTTTAATGTATTAAGACTTTGGCAAAGCCATCAGCCTAAACATGAAGTTTAATTATGTTTCTGTAAATATGGCCGCCACAAAGAGGATAGGCAATGTGAGGCGGCGTGATTGGATTGACTTGGGATTCCTTAAAACGGTCCAAAGCGGGTATTTTAGTTCGAGATTCGTATAATTTCGCGTTTTAATCTTCGATTAAGGCACAATAGCACTATCCTATTCCACTTTAAACTGTATGTCTAAGTTCATTGCTTTAAACTTTAAATTGTTTATATAACAACCTAATTGTATAAATGAAGCTGAAGACAATGTCAAAGTGTCAGGTGACTGTCAAATCGGAAGTCATTCCAAAATGTCGATATGACACAAAGAGAATAGAACAGTTCACAATTTTTAATGATTACCTCGATTATACGGCATATTTTATTTGTGCAATATATACTTCTCAATTTTCATAAGTTTAGCATTAGTGTTAAAACGTATCAAGTTCGTCGTATCAACGCTTCTAGTTACTTGGTCACCAGTTTCCCTGATTCCGAATTCGAGACTTTCTCTTCTAAAGCATACGAACCGAAAGATCCAGTTGACAAGACGGTATTTTTTAATCCAGTAAAAGATCCCCTAATTACTGATGGTCTGGATGATGGGTATGTGGGGAAACCGAATGTGAAATTATCAGCATCGTATATTAATAAAGCTAGAGATAATTACTTTAAACATTATTATGAAACTAAAAAACCTGTGATCACAAATGCAGGATTACCGTCTTCGCCTACCCAAGACCTCTCGTTGTTCGACTATGAAAGTAGATCGAACCTTGATTTTAACCTTCTAAAGGCCAGAAATCTCGCTTCTGTTTTAATCAGTGAATCTCAAGATCCGAATATCGAAGGAAAGTCGAAAGATAAATCAATGATTAAAAGGAAAAACATTTTGCAGCGGCCACGAAGGAGATATCATCAGAAACCTGTCAAAAATCCTTATATATAAGAAGAAATTATACGCTTGTCCATGAAAGAGTAAAAGTAAAAGAGCTTCATTAACAATTAATCAATAGTCACTAATAAATATGACGGCAGAGTCCAAGTCAGCCATAAGTATCATCTAATTATTTTAAATTTTACGATGATTTCTCTTCTACTTCGTTTATGTCAATGCATGACTTAGGTATAGACTGGCTAGAGGTATAATTAAGTATCAAGGTTATTCGTAATACCCATCATAAGTACTATCTCTTTAGTGTCTACTCCGCCATCACGTTTTTATGTACACATACAAGATGCAAATGTATGTATATGGCTTGCAATATTCGCCCACTTTTGGTATTCGGATAATTCGAATCTTTTATCCGAATAAAATGGATAAAACAAAAATTTACTACATCTGTTTTACAATCTTTAAAAATCTTCTTGTTATTACAAAATTAAAAATAACCAGTTGATATTATACAATAATACGTAATACCAATTGCCAATTGTAAAGGAAGTGAAAGATTTTTAAATTAAGGTTTATCTTTACAGTAGTTGTAATGTATATGTTTAATCATAAAATAATAGAGGAAACATGAAAATGGCCGTGACTTAAATTCTACTTAGTCAAATAATTCTATGAAATTGTACATCCCTGTAGTGTTTCGATTTCGAATTACATCCGTACACAATACAGTTTATATGCGCCATTATAAATACAAACAACGATTTTCGTAGAACTTGCTGAACGTATTCAAAAATATTTTAAAAGATGGTTTGGTATGGTTTGTAAAACTGTGCTCGAAATACAACTGACCAACTTGCATGACCGTAAAATGCAGGCAGGCAGTTCGACACGATCGCGACGCGAATGCGATCCGAATTGCAATACAGTAACTAAAAATAAACGAAATACAATATTACAAACCTATGCTAAAAGTATTTTGAAAACAATATACATAAAATAATACATGTATTGCTACATATATCTTTAAAACACCTAATGAAATTTGGTTTAAAGGGTTTACGTATTATTCGAAATATTCGGATTATCCGATTCATGCAAATTCGAATACCAAATTTAACGGATATTCGACTAAAACGAATATTCGGACATCCGAATTGCAAGCCCTAGTAGTTTTGTGTTAATTGTTTACAAATGTCAAATAAAACTGTTTATTGTTGTAATTATTTAGTAACAATTAATATATTATACGTATTAAAACATTCCCAACTAGTACTTTTTATTTCTACGATTCTCAGAGTCGTATTCTAGAATCTACTCAATGCTCAAGTCACGATTTGAGCAGACTTGAGTATGATTTCAAGCACTGGAAATACGACCCTAATGACAAGGACTTGAGTATGATTTTCAGTGCTCACTGCAATACTCAAGTCCTGACTTGAGTATTGAGTAGAGTTCTGGAATACGACCCTTAATCACCTTTTTAGCATAGCATAATTAGAGCTAGTAGGGCAACTCTCGCATGTTCTGCGTGTAAATACCTTCACTTCGCTCGTAGGGTTGTTACAGTACTATTATTTTAGTTGTATATTACCTACGCATTGTAAATATCATTTGAAAAAATAAGGTATTCATTATAATATCTCGTGATATATCGAAAATAGCCTTAGTTACATCCAGTAGGTGCTTACGAGGGCGGTTTGATAAATACGTGATTTTAAGGTTAAATAAAAACATTTTTCGGAATTTATTTTTATTTCTTAAAAAAAGCACGTGGAAAATGTACAGTGCTTCTATTTTCTCAAAGTCCCTCGGCAATCATCAGATTTGTATGTAATACGAATATTAATTTCCATGGCCATTAATTATTACATTTAAAATGTATAATAATTTGAATTTTTAAATTTATTGTTGTTTTGTTTTTATTTCCGTGTGAACTATATAGAGCTGTAAAACTATTTTTAATAACATTTACTTCGTGTCAATAAGCAAGTTAACAAAAATTTAGAGGAAAAGGAACTGATTCATCTTTTTTATAATATTCTTTAAAAATATACTTTCCTGTTCCGATTGAAATACTACAAGCTACAGAACCACATTTTTGGACTTTTTGAAAATAACCATTGTCGTTTTTCTTGAACGTATCGGTTTCTTGTAAAAAATACAAGTACACGCTGTAAATTATCCGTCGTGCCTGTGAATTTAGCAGCTTTCCTCCCATTGAATAATAAATGCAAAATGTAGTAGGTACTCTATACACTTCCAAGTCGACTGAAAGCGTCCGGTCTATACCAAAGGCTAAGGGCAACTGAATAAAACCCGACGACAGCCGAAACACGAAGTTTGCCGAGAGAGAGTTAACCCATTTCAAAAAAGGAGGAGGTGCTCAATTCGTCTGTATGATCTTTTTTTTTTTTGTATGTATGTTACGCGATAACTCCGGTATTTGTGAACCGATTTTCATGATTCTTTTTTTGCTGGAAAGGGGGTACTTTCATAGTGGTCCCATTTCATTTTGAAGAGAATCGTCCACCTCGAAGGGTGGCTGTTCATGCATGAAGATTCATTTTTATAAATAGCGCCTAAGTTTAATTTAGGAGCAATTACTTTAATGGTTGATTTTGCTATTTCTCCAATTCAAGGCGTTTTTCTCTCAATATACTTTGAGTAGTGAGAGCCGATTTTTATTATCTCCAGTGTCAAGTCCTGCATAGTGGCGAACTAGGGGATATTTCAATAAAACTTAGCAAATAGACGTAATTCCACTTACTTTTGAGGTCGGCTTTTTAGTACTCTGTACTGAGATTATTTTTCATCCTCTAATGTACATCCTTACTGAATCTATCTACTTGCATGAAAAGGCTTTTGATTGTCTTTGGTATTGTAATAAAATATTATTTCAATTATTTTGTAACATTTATTAACAAAATAATCAATATGCTTGAAAATGTGAAAATAATCAATCTTTGCTTTATAATATCGAGTAACGGCAAAAGCTACACGTCTATCCATAACAGTTGTAGTGCCGCTCGGAGCTTTAAATAGCAAAGATCTGAGGGGCACTGCCACAGCGCCCGTCACTCGGAGACGTAAGTTGACAAGTCTCATGTGTATATAATGCTCACATTGCTTGGCGGCAGAAATAGGTAAGGTGGCAATACTTCCCTGGACGAACTCTTTCAAAGGAGCTTTATTGTTACTAAAATTATCTTAATATTATACTAAATCTTATTATTATACTATGATTTTAGTTACGGCAATTGTAAAGCGGTGTACAACCACGGAATATTGGACTGAATTTCCATATTCCAGGGCATTTGTAATCGTATCTAACATATTCACCATTGGCAAGTAATGAGCAATAGTAGTAACTCTGGCAAGTCTTGTCATTCTTATTAGCAAAGTATCCTTTAGAACTGCAACTAACCTTTTTTGGGCATATATAGTCAAACTCACAAACGGTGGTACTAGGGTTGAACAGAGTATTTTCAGGGCATTTTACGACAGTGTTTACAAATCCTTTACCATCTCCGACGCATATTAGATAGGAGGTACAATCGGTAGAGTCTGGATCCGGGAAGATACCTTCGCCAGGACATTTACTGTTGCACACGAAGTTCGTGGCAGATGTGCAGACGGTCAGAGCAGGATCGAAAATCGTGTAGGTAGGGCAGGTGTAGTCGAAGGCTTTGTATTGACATTTGCCAGGAAGGTACAGACATAGGCTGAACTTAGTGCAGGTCGAATCATCTGGATCAATGAACCTGCCGCTTCCAGTCGCAGTGCAGTCCACCGCTGCGTGCACATGCCATGGCCCGTAAGCTGTTAATATCTGTATAAATTTATATAAAAAAATATATAATCTACAAAATATGAATACATTAGTACATTAAGGGCACACAATACTCGACTAAATTGCCGCTGCTAATAACTAATAAGACAAAGGCAAGAAATATTTTTTACATCTGGTTTTTTAAAGTCTACATCTATTAGTAGATCTTGAAATAAAAATGAAAGCTAATCTATTGACTCTTAACAATAGGAATCCAACTTACAATGAGCCAGACGCCAATAATTTTGTGTTCCATATTAAAATGTGCAAGATTATGAGAATCATCTTCGTTCTTGCTTGATTTTATACCACACTTGGTGAAATATTTGCAGCATATTTTATTGTTATATTTGTCATTGTTCTCTGGCTTATCAATATTACACTAATGATTATAGTAATCGTTACAGCCTAAAGTACGTACGAGATATTGTATTTCATTATAATATACAAATAAGGAAAACCGATAACAAGAAACTTTATCAGCATTACAAGGAAATAAGTAATTCATGTAAATAAATAAATTATTTTTACTACTTCGAGTAGCAGTAGAGCTCCTTGTGAAAGAGTTTTTCCAGGGAAGTACTGCCAAGTCTGTCACTCGTTACTGGTAGACCCGAGATGGCGGCCTCTCCAGATTGCTGAGGGGGAGACAAGAACTCTCCCCGAAAAGCGAGATGGGGTTCGGCGGCAGTCGGGTCAATCAATTCGCCTCCACCGGGCGGGGGATATCCATGAGGATATTCCTGGCGTTAAAAAAAAGGAAAGTACTGCCACCTTATCTATTTCGGCCACCAAGCAGTAATGTCAACATTACTTGTGTTACAGTTTTGAAGGGTAAGGGTGCTGGTGCAATTACAGGCACACGGGACTTGTCAACTTATATCACAGAGCGACGAGCGCAGTAGCTGTGCCCCTCAGATCTTTGCATTCTGCCATATTTACAGAGGTCATTCTATAACCGAAACTGAACCCAAGTCACTAAAAACATAAGTCGAACAAAGATTTCCTAAATTCTTATTTAATTGCGGTAACCATGCTTGATCCAAAGGTCATTGACTTGCACTACACGTGCTATAGGTACCGGTAACCATTTGAACAATGACCTATGCGCAGAAAATATGCATTTTAGATCTATTTGGTGGTAGGGTACGGGTGGGGACGGGGGCAGTATCGTATCGAGCGCGAGATTGGTAGATCATCAGTCGACCTTGCGTATTGCGTCTACGTTCCGCTGACATCGCGCATACGTTCTAGTTTTTCACGAAATGCAACGTGGTTTGGTATGTAAACAAGAGTTAGTGCAAAAAAAAACCGCTAGAATGTTCACCAGATCTTGCATTACCATCAAATGCGTTCTTATGGCATGATGTGAAACGTTTAGTTTATGCAGATTACGAGTGTCGAAGAAATGCGCGTAAAAATAGTTTCTGGTTTCTTTCTGCTTTTTCTGTTGTGAAGAATATACTAAGTTGAAACGAAACTCTGCATATCTGTGGCTGGCTCTGGTACAGTGGCTGCCACACAAATCTAATACTTTGATTTAAACTTTCACGATTTTTACACATTATTTGATTTTTAATTCGGAACTTAATCACGTATAAAACATATTTTATTTTATTTATAAAACATGTATTAAACATATTTCACATATTTTATTTTAGAAGATGCTGACACCCGCCTCTTCAGTCCCTTCGAGACCATGTACGTTGCAATATGTCCGAAACGTGGAGGTAAATAAAGTAAAATAAAAGTTTTATATATGATTAAGTCCCGAAATAAAAATCAAATAATACTAAATCTAAGTTACCAAAAATCATTTTTCAGTCATCTTTTCTAACTAATGTAAATAATTAGTAAATTATAACAGTGTATACATGCATACGTAAACATAATTTAAAAAATAGTTAAATAAGCGATTGAGAAAGATTACGTATCGCTCGGTGAAGCGAGTGGCGGAGTCACTGTCCTCCGCGGTGAATACACTGGGGACAATTTTGCAAAACTTTACTAGATACAATAAGCCAGAATATTTAACAGAATATTTTTTTAAATATTTTTAGATGATTTAGCATTATTTCTATTATTAACTTCTTAAATACATATAGCGAGAATCCAAATCAACTCACTGTATAATAATTTCATAGCTTTCTCACAGGTTCACATAGAGGTAACAAAACATCAAATTGATATCATGACAATAAAACATCATAATATTCAATAAAATAAAATATTCAAAAAAATATTACAATTCATAACGCGTCATCTTTTGTCAACCTCTGGTAGATGTAAAGTTACCTAGTTGAGTGTAGAAAATCTTTCAATGAATTTCTCAAGGGTGACGGCAAAAAGCCGTTAAAACCATAAACAAAAACCCTTAACAAACGTATAGAGAAATCTATAAGGTCTGCTGACTCGATAGCTCGATTGCTAGGAGCGGTTGCCCTAGATTGGCATACAGACTCAAGTTCATGTCGTGTCAGATCGATGGAACTTTTATTCATGTTCGATCTTTGCACATAAGGTGCAATAGAAGTTTCCGGAACTAAAACTAACATAAACAACATTTAAAAAGTAATTACAACATTTGAAAATGGAACTTATTGGCTGCAGAATACAGTTTGTATCATCTGACTGTCACTTGTTTTTACGTTGTGGCGTCATTTTAGAAATTAGTTGTCTACATCACCACGGATTTAACTCGTGAAAATTTTCGTAGTATAATTTTCTACGACTTTAAGTGTAATTTAACAGCTCAGCGAAGCTTCCCTCGACTTCAAACTGCTTTTAGCAATGAAGCACCATGCAAGACGACTATTTATAGCTGGTTTGCAAAATTCAAACGCGGTCGTGTGAATCTCAGTGACGAATTTCGTGATGGTCGCCCGTCCACTGCTGTGAACAACAAAAACGTCGATGCTGTGCGCCGTATGGTCAAAACAGACAGGCATGTGACATACCATGTGATTCGGGCATACGCATGAGTCAAATACAATCAATACTACACAAACATTTGTGTGTGAAAAACCTGTGCTGTCAGTGGATCCCACACAATTTGACTGAGGCTCAAAAAACGGATCGCGTCACTTAGTGCAATGCTATGGTTACCAGATTCAACAAAGGAGCGTCAAATTTGGTGTGGGACATAGTAACAGGTGACGAAACATGGATTTATAGTTACTATCCTAAAACAAAGTAGCAATCGAGCGTATGGGTCTTTCGAGATGAGCCGAAACCATCCAAAGTGGCGCGCGGGCAAAGTGCATCTAAGCGGATTATTATAAACTGGACACGTGGCTACTGTTGCTTTGGAGAATCGTTGCACCGTAAATAGTGATTGGTACACGTCCATTTGTTTGCCGCAAGTTATTGACAAACTCCGTAAAAATAGCCGTAAACGCCGTATCATCTTGCACCACGATAATGCCAGTTCTCACACGGCTGGACTGACAAATGAGTTTTTGAAGGTGAACAACGTTGACCTTATGAGCCATCCCGCGTACAGTCCCGACCTGGTACCTTATGACTTTTATTTGTTTCCAAAAATTAAGAACCCGTTACGCGTTCAACGATTTTCATCACCTGAAGAGACTGTCGAAGATGATGAAAAATATGTTTCAGATATTGTCACGGAGGAGTGCCATAAATGTTTTCAAAATTGGTTCATTCGTATGAAAAAGTGCATTAACGCTAACGGAGAATATTTTGAGAAACAATAAATTCATTGACCATGACCATTATACTTTACACTGACCATTTATAGTATTTTTTTCTTATTCATTCCGGAAAGTCCTGGTGCGCCTCACGTATTAATAACTATAACAAACTATACTATCGTCAGTTAAATTTGAAATCCTCGTTACTCCTTTTTTGGACGACCCTTTTTTTGTTTTCAAGCTCAACATCGGACAATTAAAATTAAAATATGATTTGTGAACCTTCTTTTAGCTATAAAATAGAAGTACACTCATTGAATGTCGTATAGTTATTTCTAGTAATTCTGTTTTTGTGCCTACTCTAAAGTTCACATTAATGGAGGTTATGAGGTTCACGTTTTAATTATTAATATCATGGTAGTAAAACATCACAATATTTAATAAAAACCAATATTACATTCATAAAGCGACATCTTTTGTCAACCTTCAGTAACTGTAAAGGTAGCTGGTTGAGTGAAAATAAAATTTCATACATTTCTCACAGGTGGCGCTACGTCAAAAAAGCCGTTAAAACCAGAAACCAAAGATCTATAACAAACGCATAGAGAAATTGGTAAGGTCTGCTGACTCGATCTGTACCTCAGTTGGTAAAGCTGTCAGATCGAAGGAAGTTTTCTTTATGTTGGATCTTTGTATTAATAATAATTATAACAAAGTAATTGAAACCATGGTAGTAAAACATCATAATATTATCTCGTAATAAATCCGTAGATAAACAAATGCTGAGTAAACAGGAAAAACTCAGGCGGTCGGACAATTGTAACTTGTTGTACAAATTTTAGCCGTAGGGTTGAAAACTGAAGTAGACGGGCACGTGTATCGATATTCTACATAAGTATTGTTCGTACTTAAAAGTACACACATATAGTAAGTCTTGCAAGTCGTGTCGGTCGTGTTCGCGAATCTCCCTTCAGCGGTACAAGTGAAATCCGGTATGGTACAATTATAATCATTTACGCACAAAGTTGTTTCCGGATCGTAGAAAGAGGAATCTGGACAAGTGTCCGGTATCTCTTGGAGAACCCCGTCAACATTCACACATAGCATATAACCAGTGCAATTAGTAGATGTTGGATCTGCTACGAACCCTTCTTCTGTACACACTGAGCTGCTAGTTGTATTGTTAGTCGCATTACATATGTAATCATTTGAACATTGGGCTGTAGCAGGATTGAATAACGATGAAGTAGGACACGTGTAGTTATAAGATATATAGGTATTTGTGACCGAGTTGAAGATGCAAAGAGTGTAGTTCTTGCAAGTAGCATCCGTACCGTCAGTAAATCGGCCGGCGCCTGTCCTTGTGCAGTTTACCTCGGCTTGCACTTGCCACATAAGGCACAGAAGCTGCAAGAGAAACAACTTATTATGATACGTGATAGTTAGCCTATGATATGTGTCACTGCTGGGCTCAGACCACAGGGGAATTTTCATAACCTCGAAAGTAACTTTGAGAGGAAAATGTTTTTTCTTTTAAACCTAACTTAACCTAACCGAACCTAATCGTGTCTTTGCGATAAACATCCAACATATCCTGAAAGAACAACGGTTTCGTTATAATTCGGTTTTCGAGGTAATGAAAATTCGAACAAACGTTATTTCCGAAAAAATAAATTCGAGTTTGTGATACCTTATTATCGAATCTGGGTTACCTATTCAATTGCTTTTCAGGCGTGTGCAGGTTTCCTCACGATCTTTTCCTTCACCGATAAGCTCATGGTCACGCTCATAAATTCCGAACAACTCAGAAATGCAAGCCGGGTTGGAATACACGTTCTGCTTGAGAGGCTTTAGATTAACCATTAGGCTTCGTAACAAGAACATGTTTAGTAGCAGTAGACCTCCTTGTGAAAGAGTTCGCCCAGGGAAGTACTGCGGGTGAACCATCCGCCGAAACGTCTCAGTAGTATGCGCAAGCGGATCCTGGGTCGTCTCTATGGCGGTGGAGTTAACCGCTAGGTTTTAGTGGGTATACGGGACTACCGCCAGGAGTCCCACATAACCTCTCGATGTTCCCCCGAGCCGAGCGGTATGCGTAACGCATTTCCCAGCGACAAAAAAAAGGGGAAGTACTACACCTTATATATTTCTGCTGCCAAGTAATGTCAGCATTACTGTGTTCCAGTTTTGAGGGTAAGAGTACTGGTGAAATTACAGGCACATGGGACTTGTCAACTTATGTCTCAGGGTGACGGCCGCGGTGGCAATGTCCCTCAGATCTTTGCGATTTAAAGCTCTGAGTGGCACCGCAACTGTCATGGACAGGCGTGTAGCTTACCATCAGGCGCACGACTTGTTCGTCCCGTCACTTGGGATTTATAAGAAACTTTATACAATCCAAAATAAAGCAACTTACCAGAACAAATCCGACGCAATATTTGTTCTCCATTCTTGCCATCTGCTAGAATATGGTTAAGTCTGACCGCACTGACTTTTATACCCAAAACTATAATAAAAAGATGTTCGTACGTGTGCCTTCATTCACCTAGATTAGGTTATTTGCCTCATTAAAACATGGTACGGAGTAAGTTTGTTTGATGTACCAGCCGCGTATGTTATTTATTACCTTTTTGTTTACGTGACATATTCTCTGTTGCGGTAAACTGTTTGCTAGAGGTCAAATATAGAACGGTTTATTTCTAGGGTTTCAAGTGAAAGTGGTAAAAACTGAACCCTTGTTTATTTCTTGATTATAGTACCGGCACGCTATGATGGCCGTTTTGACGTTTGTCCGCTCATCAAGTTTCATATTAATTCATAACTACGTTACAGGAGCTAATTGATGTACATTGTTGTCAACAGTGACGTGCAGGAAAATGTATGGAATGTATAATTATAAAACACAACTCGGCATTTGTTTTTCCAAATTCGAAATTTTTATAAATGAAATCTTATGCGATCGTAACTTATAGGCTCGTTTTCCAGCACAACTTCTATCTCCGGCAAACTCGCGTCAAAGCTCAATGCAAAACCGAGCAGTTTCGAATGATTACTACCTATTTTATATTCGTTTTATTATATTTTTTTAATCAGCTACCCCTTGCTAGCTATAAATCTAAAAACGTATAGATGCGACTCGCATTTGATTACATTTTTTTGGATAATGAATTGAGATTTGACCTCATTGATGTAATCTGTCAAAACGGCCATCATAGCGTGCCGGTACTATAGTAAAACAATAGGAAATTTTATTAAAGTATTTCCAATTTCTTGTTTAAAAAATCGGACTTCTGATTCTTTCGAAAATTTTATTAAAGTATATTTCAACTCCTTTTTTCTTTTGAAAAAAATGTGGCAAATTAATTAATTTATTTTAAATTACTGAAAACGGACCTGTTGCTGCAAATTTTTTTAATCAGAGAGTTTTAACAGAACATAAAAAAACTGACGCATATTTAAAGTTTGATGTCATTTATCATCAAGCCATAACGGTCTATTTACTTGTACTTGTACAGCTTTACTCATACCCA